GAGGAAACATTCCTTGCAGCATTGATTGAAATGAAGCTTGACCTTACTATGGAAGTACCAGATGCAGTGGCTGATGTCTTGGCGGAGTTCATTGCTGTAATGCCTCCAGAGTTGCGTAAATCTCTCCCTCCTCGGCGTGCCACTAATCACAAAATTGAATTGGTGCCTGGAGCGAAGCCTCCTGCCAAGGCATCCTACCGAATGTCGCCATTGGAACTTGCTAAATTAAGGAAGCAGTTGTCGGAGTTATTGGAAGCCGGTTTAGTCCGACCCTCTAAAGCCCCATACGGTGCCACCGTGTTGTTCCAAAAGAAACAAGACGGATCATTGCGGATGTGTGTGGATTATCGGGCCCTAAATAAGGTGACTATCAGAAATAAGTATCCTGTCTCTTTGGTGGTGTATCTGTTCGACCGTCTTAGCAAGGCCACTTTCTTCACAAAGTTGGACCTTCGCTCGGGGTATTGGCAAGTTCGGGTTGTGGAAGGAGACAAGGCAAAGACCACTTGTGTAACTAGATATGGTTCTTTTGAATTTTTAGTTATGCCTTTTGGCCTTACTAATGCTCCTGCGACATTCTGTAATTTAATGAATGATGTTTTTAACGATTATGTTTATCGGTTTGTACTTGTTTACTTAGATGACATTGTAATTTATAGTGAAACACTACAAGACCATTTGACCCATCTCAGAAAGGTACTCAACCGATTGCGGGAAAATAAACTCTATGTAAAGAAGGAGAAGTGCGAATTTGCTCAAAAAGAAATTAAGTTTCTTGGGCATATTATTTGCCAAGGCCATGTCAAAATGGATGGAAAGAAGGTGCAAGCTATTATGGAATGGTCTCCACTCGCCAATGTTGTGGAGTTGCAATCCTTTTTGGGTTTGGCGAATTACTATCGGAAGTTTATTGAGGGATATTCAAAGAAGGCTGCTCCCCTCACTAATTTGTTTAAGAAAGATCACAAATGGCATTGGTCCATTAATTGTCAAAAGGCCTTTGACAAATTGAAAGGTTGTGATAACCCTCAGCAATAATTAGTGCTAATCTATGATTAAGCATGTTAAGTGACTGATTGACTGAAATTCTGACTGATTGATCGAGTGTATTAGTTTAAATGCATTTCTATCTGTTTGATTGTTAATTGATCTGTTCATGTTTTAAGTGTCGAACTGTGAATTGAAGGCCTTATCGGCGGCCGAATCTAAAATTGATTAGTGTTTCATGTTAATTAGAATTTATGTGATTTGATGGTATGCTTGGTTCTTACTGATAATGTGGCTAATACATTCTTCAAAACTCAGAAAAAGTTGTCTCCAAGGCAGGCCCGTTGGCAGGAATTCCTTGAAGAATATGACTTTGAGTGGCGACACAAGCCTGGACGACATAATCTAGTCGCTGATGCCTAAGCCAGAAGGAGATAATTGACTATGTGGCTGCTATCTCCAACATTGAATCACAATTGCTGGAAAGGATCAGGGATAGTGCTGCAATTGACTCAGAGTATCAACGGTTGGTGCAGTAAGTAAAGGATGGAATTGTTCGTCGGTATTGGCTTGAAGATGGTCTTCTCCATGGCAAAGGAGATAAGCTATATGTCCCTAGTGTTGGGGGACTGCGAATGGAACTTCTTAGAGAAACGCATGACCCGTAGTGGGTTGGTCATCCGGGACAACAACGCATGATGGCACTTGTGTCGCGTTTATATGTTTGGCCAAAAATGGAAGAGGACGTAGAGGCTTATGTCAAAACTTGCATGGTGTGCCAATTGGACAAGATCGAAAGAAAGAAGGCGGCTGGGTTATTGCAACCATTGTCGGTCCCTAAGAAGCCTTAGGTTTCCATATCCATGGACTTCATATCCGGATTTCCTAAAATAAATGGGATGCGTTTCATCATGGTAATTGTTGACCGTTTTTCTAAGTATGTTGTTTTTATCCCTGCTCCTCATGCTTGTCCCGCTGATATTGCTGCTGATTTATTTTATAAGTATGTTGTAAAATACTTTGGCTTGCCTGAGGACATAATTAGCGACAGGGATACCCGATTTACGGGAAGGTTTTGGACTGTGCTCTTTAATTTGTTGGGTTCCGAATTAAAGTTCTCCACAGCAAAACACACTCAGACGGATGGCCAGACCGAGAGGAAGAATGGATTGCTGGAGGAGTATCTCCGACATTATGTGATCGCAAGTCAAAAGAATTGGGTCGAATTGTTGGACAGCGCACAGTTTTGCTATAATTTACACAGATCATCTGCAACCGGGATGAGTTCGTTTGAATTAGCCACAAGGCAGCAGCCTCTAACTCCTCACTTAGTGGCTAAAACAGGCTCTGGTGGTAAATGTCCAGCAGCATACCGCTTTGCAAGGACCAAACAAGAGCTGCTGGAGGAAGCACAAGACAGTTTGGCTAAAGCAAGCAAAAGAATGAAAAAGTATGCTGACAAAGGGAGGAGACCCTTAGAGTTCAAAGTGGGAGACAAGGTGCTACTGAAGCTTACTCCTCAAATTTGGAAAAAGATAAGCAGTAAGACAATGCACCAAGGCTTAATTCCGAAATATGATGGCCACTTTGAAATCTTAAAACGTGTGGGCAATGTTGCATACAGGCTAGTGTTGCCTGATTGATTAAAAATCCACCCAACTTTCCATGTTAGCTTTTTGAAACCTTTTCATGAGGATCAAACAAACTTGACAAGGAAACAAGCTCGGAGAGCACCTCCAATGGTCAAAAAGCGGTTTGACAAGGAGGTAGAACGGATTCTGGATCACAAGACCGAGGGTCAAAGCAAAAAGAATTGAAGGACCCATTACTTAGTGAAATGGAAGGGTTCCCCAGAATCTGATGCAAGTTGGGAAAAAGATGTAACATTGTGGCAATTCGAAAAACAAGTCCAAGAGTACTTGAAGACCCTACTAACGAGGATGTTGGCTTCTTCTGGTGGAGGTGTTTTGTTAGCACCTTCTTCTTGAAGGCTACAAGCTTGGCATTGGCAACACCTTGCACCAATATCCAACCAAGGACATGGCATGATAGTGGCACGCCAAGACAGCAAGGTGAAAAGTTGGCAAAGTGCTGAGGCAGCAGCACACAACCCTTGGCCAAAGTATGGGCAGCAATTGCACAGATGCAAGGCATTAACATGACTCGAATGTGGGCTGCAGCATACTTAGGGGTTGAAAGCAATCAGTATGCAAGACTTGGCCTAGTGGCCAAGACAACCAAATTCGTGGCTGACTTGATGAGGCAAACAACATAGCAGTTATGCTTGTCTGTTGGCAGCAGTTACCCGTGTTGGGTAAAGACAAGCCAGCCTAGAAATCAGGAACCAAGGCTGGAAGACAGCAGCAGTTATTAGCAGGTCCCAGAAATTGTTCCCAAGTCCCTAGGCAGTTAGGGGTGTCAACTACCATGCCACTTGGCATGCTTTCCTTGTAATGCTGGTTGAAAAACAAGTCCAACAGTACTTGAAGACCCTACTAACGAGGACGTTGGCTTCTTCTGGTGGAGGTGGTTTGTTAGCACCTTCTTCTTGAAGGCTGCAAGCTTGGCATTGGTAACACCTTGCGCCAATATCCAACCAAGGCCATGGCATGATAGTGGCATGCCAAGACAGCAAGGTGAAAAGTTGGCAAAGTGCTGAGGCAGCAGCACACAACCCTTGGCCAAAGTATGGGCAGCAGTTGCACAGATGCAAGGCATTAACATGACTCGAATGTGGGCTGCAGCATACTTAGGGGTTGAAAGCAATCAGTATGCAAGCTTGGCCTAGTGGCCAAGACAACCAAATTCGTGGCTGACTTGATGAGGCAAACAACATAGCAGTTATGCTTGTCTGTTGGCAGCAGTTACCCATGTTGGGTAAAGACAAGCAAGCCTAGAAATCAGGAACCAAGGCTGGAAGACAGCAGCAGTTATTAGCAGGTCCCAGAAATTGTTCCCAAGTCCCTAGGCAGTTGGGGGTGTCAACTGCTATGCCACTTGGCATGCTTTCCTTGTAATGCTGGTTGTATATTTGTAACTGATTGTAAGCCTATTTAAGGCATAGCCATGGAACTCGAAAATAACGAAGTGTTTGTAAGAGTTACCATAGGCACTCCTTTATATTGTTGGTGCAATTAATAAAGGATGGGAATTTTCCTGTAATCTTTTGCTGCCTACTCTCTTACTTGTTCTAACACTTTGTGTGGGTGTGTATTCATAATTGGCTGAGACTAAGTGCTGTAACTTAGTGCCATTACAGGCTGAAAATTTGAAACGAAAATTGACCCTGTAACAACTAGTATAGTAAATAGAGATATGAATCTCCTTAATTTGACTAACCAAATGGCCTTTGATAGAGTCGAGTGAAGAAAAAGGATTCGTGTAGCCAACCTTTGATGGGACTTAAGGCTTGGTTTGGTTTGGTACATAACCTCCAAGTCATTGAGTCAAATTTTAAAATATTCTTTTTTTAACAAGAATACCCCTTAATTTTTTTTAAGAGACAATTATAGAACCTATTTAAAAATTGCCTATTTCATTTGGCCAAAAATTTTTGTCCCCAAATCCTTTGCCCCCTCTTCTAATGCATTCTTAATTATTAGATTAGATAAAAATTCATTTGTTTTGAGATTTTCACATGATTCAATGGTTGAAGAAAAATAGAGAAATTTGAAGAAAGAATCTTGGTCAATCCAACTTCTACACCTTATTTTCTTTATAATTGTTGTCCACCTAAAACAAGGACCAAAATGATGGAAAGAACATAGCTATATAACATGTTAGTTCTGAAAAGGGAGAAGTTCCTCCAAAATTTAGGCATGAAGTCAATGGGCATGCCCAGAGGGAAAAATAAAAATAAAAAACACAACTCTAGCATTGACGCAGGATATATACGTGATAGTTCTGGAAAAGTATAAATAAATACCTATCCAGAATCCACCTCAGAAAGATGACAGTAAAGAAAGTAAAGAAGAATAAATTATCCATTTCATACGGTAAATTGCTTATCAAACCTTCCAATTAGATGGGGCAACTTTGTCAATAACAAGAACATGACTGTCCCACCTATCTACAACTGCTACTAGAAGTTTCCTTGTGAAGCTGTGATGAAGAACAAATATAAATTAGTTCTCTCACGTACATGACTTGCTGCAGGAAACAATTACAGCTGCAAAATGAATTGTTTAATTTATGTATACAAGGGGCTCACCGCAAAATTAGTTTGCTGTACACCAACTTTGGAGGAGCTGAAAGTACCTCTGCTTCTGAGATACAGGAAAGCACATAATTATTTTTTCTTCTAGAAAGAACATTGTAGCCAAATTCACTTTCAAGAGTCATGAGAAAGGAATTTTAGGAAATGAACACTTACAAAAGCATTAAATAGTTGTTCATTTCGTATTAAACAGTTCTTCATGGCTAGGATGGAGCTTTTGCATGTATAAATGCCAGTACCCAAGGCATGGGCAGGTCCATATATATTCATGTGTGTTCAATTAACCCCACTCAATTTGAAAAAATCACAAAAAATTTTATCCATATAGATTTTTAGGTAAAATTGAATCCACTGTGTGAGAACCCGTATTTTCAAATATATCAAATTATTTTAGTGATTATATTGTATTTCAATTTTATTAAATTAATTGAGATAAATACATTTAGCTGCTTAATTCCTATAACCCCAATTATGATAATCAATAATAAGGTCACTTTAATAATAGTAATTCAATTATTAATTAATAATGTTATAAGGTCTCATAGCAGGTATTATTTTAATCCCTTAATTTATACTTTCTGTAAAACTTTTCTGTGTAACCGAATATTAATCTAAGAAACCAATTAAGGGAAATTCTATTTTGTGGAAAATCTAAGAATTTATGTGATAATCCTCAAGTCATCTTTAGTAATCTTTATTTTGGTTATCCTGCATGCCTTATTGATTTATGGTTATTTATTGTTGTACCCTATCATGATATTAGTTGTGATTTAAAATCAACTTAAAGTTGTGGGAATAAACCGGGTGGTATGGGGTATGCGTAGTGACTCGAACGCAAGAATGAGAATGGCAGTTATTGCCGAAATAAATGTGAAAATGGATAAAAATACATATTGTTTAGGGTATGCCTGTGGGAATATTATGTTAATTATGGAAATATATCAATTAGGTTGATTGTGAATATTAGATTGATTGTGTGAATAATAGATTGATTGTGTTTCCTATTTCAAATTAGGATTTAAGATTGCTATATATATTGGTTGTAATCTTTGTATTAGCACAAGTTGAATATATAGATCATTCAAAAAAACTTACATGGTATCAGAGCTTGGTTTGAAACCCTGGCTTGCAAATTCGAAACCCTTGTCTGCTGTGAATCGCGATCAATCATCGCGCCTGCTTCATCCGGTCATCTGTGGTATCATCGTGTCTCTCTCGGTTCTCGTCAACTTCATCTGGTCATCGCAACTCGTCGGCTTCACCTGGTCATCGCGACTCTCTCTCAGTTCATCTCGGTTCATCTCACTTAATCATCGCGATTCTCTCGGTTTATCTCGCTTCATCTGACCCTGGTTCTCTCTCTCTGTCTTTGTGTTTTGCGACTATCAGTACTGTTATTTGGTTTAAACCCTTATTTCCTGTTTGGCCCACTTGTTAGTTATTAGTATACTTCAACCTATTTATTTTTGGTTTATTACAATGACGGACACCAAAATCCAAGCCATTAGATGTAAACTTACAGGTACGAATTATGCTTATTAGGCTAGTGTTATGAAGAATTTCCTTGGTTAAAAAAAATGGGGCTATGTTTCTAGTTCTGGTTCTGTTTCTCGTCTATTGGACCCGAAACAAGAAGGATATCTGACTTCCTGTGACACTTGGGATTGTGATAATGCCCAAGTTCTGACCTGGTTTCATAATTCTGTGGATGACCATATTAGAATGATGCTTTCCAAATACAGTACTGCTAAGGAGGTGTGGAACTATTTATTAGGTGTGTATCAGCAGTCCAACTTTGCCAAACAGTATGAATTGGAAACAGCTATTTAGAGTGCTCGTCAGTGAGATCAATCTATTCAGGACTTCTACATTGAGATGACAGGTCTCTGGGATCACTTGGCTCTCATGGAACCATCTAGCCTCAAGGCACTAGATGCTTATGTTGAGTTTCGTTAGCAACGTCGTTTAGTGCAGTTCTTAACGGCTCTCTCCCCTCAATATGAAGTTATCCGTAGTGGCATCCTTCATCGGTCTCCTCTCCCCTCAGTGAATGCTATTGTTTGTAAGCTCCTCTCCAAGAAAACCCATCTTAAGACGGCCAGTCAGACTCTATCTCCATCTATCTTCTTGGCTCCTACTCAGCCTCCTCTGTTGTCGACCCCACCGCCTCATCAGCTTCAGGGCAATGCAAAGCCCAAGAAGGGGCCACTAGCCGTTGATGAGTGTGCTTTTTGCCATCAAAAGAGCCATTGGAAGTACAACTGTCCCAAGAAGGGACGTCAATCTGCTCAGTCTTCTCAGCCGCCTCAAACAAAGTTTCGCCCTCTTGCTGCTTATACTGCATCTGCTCCAACTTCTGATCCTGACTTGGCTTCCTTGCGTGCCCAGATGGCTCAGCTTCAGCATCTCCTGTCCACCTCCCAACCATCCTCGTCTGCCTTTGCTCTCACATCTATCAATCAGCTTGATGCCTCTGATTTTGATGTTATCTTTTCTTTTTCTATCTGTTCTATGCAGGATCGGATGTCCAAGCAGCAGATTGGGACTGGCCGTAGAGTTGGAGATCTCTATGTGATAAAGAGCTTGCATCTATCTATAACAACCTCTCCGACCGTCTTTTTCTCTTTTCAGTTAAATTCTCTATCTAGTCCTTTCTACTTGTGACATTCTAGATTAGGGCATTTGTTTGCTGACCACTTACGGTCTTTAGCTCAATCAGATATATTGCGTAAAGTTTCTCCTAGTGAACGTAATGAATGTTGGGAGTGTAAACTTGCCAAAATGACAGCCTTACCTTTTCATAAAAGTACTTTTATATCTAATCCACCGTTTTCTTTAGTTCATACTGATGTTTGAGGCCCTTCTCCTGTTCTCACTAAAGGGAGTTCTGCTTACTATGTATCATTTGTTGACGACTGCACCCGTTATACTTATGTTTATCTTATGACTCATAAGTTCAATTTCTATCAGATATACCGTACCTGTCACACCCCAAACCCAGGTATGACTGGTCGTGACCCACAAGGCCTTAGCCTAAGGCACACGTAAGCCTAGGCACAAATCCATAATCACATTGAACAACTACACAATAGTCCAGTAATAAATAACCAAACTTAATCTAGTGACATACCACAAGTATAAATGGCAAAACTAACCATAATTAATACCATCCAAACTTATGGGATATAAACAGCCCACATATCAAAATAATCCTAAATGAACCTCAATAAAAATATAAAAAAAACATATGCACAAACTTGACATAACAATCTAAAACAAAATAAATGAATGTCCTAGAGGTCCATGCAATTGAGTCCCCTCTACGCCATGAGTCCACTCTAATTCCTTCTAACACCTGGAAATGATAAACAACTAATTAGCTAGTAGCTCAGTGAGTAACAGCATTGATAGTAAATACAGTTTTGAAAACACAGTTCGATTCCAAAATAAGATATATATCACAGAAACTAGACTGGCATACAATTTGATAAAGATAACCTGTTTCAAAAGGAAGGTTCCACAGTTCAACAGTTAAAATACTCATGTCTCTCAAGAACATGATAAATGACATTTTCCACTTAAAACATATTACAACATCAACACCAATAATTTTATGGGTACCAAGAATAACAAGTAATATGCCACACAATTCTCAAGGTAATAAGCCCGTTAGATCCAATATCGAACCAAGAGTCATCCTCGGGGTGGCAATTGAAGGTCACCTAGCCTAGCCTAGGTCTTTTCCTTACAATTGTTGAGTACTAGAGTCATCACAGCCCAACCTAAATCTGTTCCCTAGTGGATAGAGTCACCACACACAGTGGACTAATTTCCCTGGACTTTTATATACAAATGGTCCCAATAATCAATACAATTTCGTAAAACATGGTAGTTCACCATTATAAACATAAGACCATAGCAAATAGTTTACAGTATGCCAAGTTCACACATATTTCAGAAATTTTAATTCCATTGATAATATAATAATTTATCAAAACTGTTTAGTCCTGAAACAACAATTTAATTTTCCAACAGTTCAAGGTAGGGGAACATTTATAAAAATACGTAGCAT